TGGAAAAAAACTTTTTGAAAACTCGTCTCTAATTATCGGTTGCGAATGAAAAACGATATGATTATCACATGAAATAAATGTTTTCGCAATTGTGTCCATAAAACCAATGTATACATGAAAAAGTGGATAACAAAAACTTTCGCCAAAAGTTCAAAAGTTTATGACATTTAACAAACTCTGTGACCGAAAACTCAATGCATTTTATACGAGTGCCAAATGTGACTGAGTTTGCGCTGTAGTGTCCATTCACTAGCAGTGCATTGAATGCGGCGTTAAATGCAGTGTTGAATGCATTTCATTACGACTCGTCTCGGAGTGGGAGTTAAGGCTAAGGCCTATGCGAGTGAGTAGTCTATGCGAGAGTGCATTGCATGAGACAATCGGCTCAACGCTATCACACGTAATCCTAACAGCGATTGTTTTTTGTAATGCATTTTGCGGAATGATAAGTTCATTTCCCGACAATCACATACGCACTCTCACCCGATAGTCACGTGACCGTCCGTCACATACTCACTCTCTGAGGGACACGGTATCCCGACCGACTTTGTGTGTGTATTTCAAATCCATATGTCATACCAATTGGCGAAACATATTGTAATTGTGTTGTGAATAGTAATCAACTCATCCATTAATACAGTGGCTTAAGAAGTCTTGTGGTGTTTGTATTGTCGTGTTTGTGGATCAAGTGATTACCACCGCTGCTGAAGACACACCACGTGTTTGCGTGTGAACACCGACTGTCCTCCCAGTCGCCCATCGGATCCCATTAAGGATCGGCTATAATTTAGTGGTGTTTTTAGCGGACATTTAAGACAATTATGAATAAACTATTGGATGAGATGTCGGTCTGCGATGACTTTCATCTGTCGCCAAACAGTCTGTTGTCTTCGTTTGAGACCTCGATTGATGATGACTTGAGTCTGGAGTTCGCGCAGATGGTGGACAACAACGACCCGTGGATTGGCAACGGAGTCATCGACAACATGAATATCTTCAGCGCCGCGCCCGACGATATCTTCGACGACGACTTCAACACAGGTTTGTGTTGTCCAGTGATTAGCTGATCCCATGATTATGTGTCTGCCATTAGTTGCCGATTAAGTTTGGGTTAGTTTTTGTGTCCATACATCGGTTCCCATATGTGATAATTGTCGCCATTTCTTAGTCTATTGTCAGTTTGAAAACTAAGTTTTAAGATATCTTTTCGTGTCTCCAATGATTATCCGTTTGTTTGCCATTCATCTGATCCGATGATAATCATTGTATCATTAGTGAGGGTATTGTCAGTGATAGCATAGTTTACGATAACTTAGTATTTGTGTCCAAAATGTTAGTTCAGTTTTTGATGATATAAATGATTGTTTAGTACTTTTAAGTTGTTTTAAAAGGCATTTAAAAAACTTAATGAGTGTTTGAAAAGCGATTGCGAAATAGTGTCACAAATGCCGGCGTTTTTTTCGTTGAACTTTTCAAATGCCTTATCTATGCCTATGTCTGGGGAACCGGTATTTTCAATAGCAATGCATTGAATGGTGTTTTGAATTTCGAGATTAAAATCCTTCAGCGAAATGTGACACAAAAACTATGCATACATTTCAATGACTCATTTACTGAGCCATTGTTATAGCGAGAGATATGTTTGTCTCCATAATAATCGGTTAAAATAGTAATTAATTTGCGATAAAAATTGATAAAAAGTTTTTTAACATAATGTCTGTGAATCGCGGGATCAGATTCAAGCAAATCGTCGGTATCTCTAAGCCCGGAGCCGACCGTCAAATGCGAGGTCGAGATCGACAACGAAATCGAGATCAACAGCGAAGAACTCAACGACTGTGATGTGGACTCGCCGGTCAGTTACGCCGGGAGCACCGGTAGCACGAGCTCGTCGTCCAGGAATTATGACTTCACGAAAGTGGTACTCCTGAGCGCCCAGAGCATCAAAAAGGAGCCCAAAGAGTACACGAGTGGCTCGAGTACGAAGAGCTCGCCGAAGACGTCGCCCAAGAGTCGGACGCCGAGGAATATAAAGATCACGGATCTGGTGCTCACGGATGAGGAGAAGCGACTGCTCTCCAAAGAAGGTATGGCTTTGTGTTTGTGTTTGTGTTGTTCAGTGTGTTTGCAGTGACGATAAGAAGTCAATCGCCTATCAGTTCCGTTGCATAGCATTTACATGTCGTCAACTCATGCGGTGTTTCCTCTTTCTCACTGTCGTATAGGTTACCACGACTTCCCCTCCGGGAGCCTACCGCTCACGAAACACGAGGAGAAAATTCTACGCAAAATACGGCGAAAGATCCGCAACAAGAAGTCGGCGCAGTGTTCGCGGCAGCGGAAGAAGGAGTACTTGGAGGACCTCGAGAGGCGGTTCGATGAGCGCAACCACGAGAACGAGCAGCTCAAGAAGGAAGTGATTAAACTGAAGAAAGAGAACGACACCCTTCTCGTCAAGATGAAGAAGATCCTGTCCATGAATGGCCAGAACGCCTCATTCAAGTCCTCCTTCTTCGTCATCGTTCTTAGTTTCCTATTAATTCTCGTGCCTTACTTTCGGTGAGTCCATTGGTGTTTGTTTTTTTGGTGATAGGCTTTCCCTTCCGTTCCCACCGACACGTCTTAGTGTGATGTGTGGGGGAAGTCGTTGGATGTGTTGAGTCGTTTGGTTTTGTTGAGTATTTATTTACATTTTTTAGTGAATTTAGTTTGTTTTTTGCCTAAAAAAACAGCAAAAAATTACCTATACACAAAGCGCCGCTTTTAATATGGCCACATACTTTAACACAAAATCAAAAAATCCTCACTTAAACTAAATGAACGATCGCAAATCATGTCCACACACAGTGTGTCTCTGCAGCGAAAAAGTGTGCTTTCTATATACAATTTATGCAGTGTTTTAATTATGCAGATTTCCTTATGTTTTAAACCATTTTACTCCATATATTAAATATGCACTATTTGTTGGGAAAATTTTGTTTTTGATTTATACGAGAGTTTGTGTGTTAGAGAAACACGAGATTCACTCGCGTTTAACCCTTTAATCGTTGTGTTAATCAGTAAAATACAGTGTTTCTGTTGTTATGATATAACTCATGAAAAACAATTGATTTGTGTGTTTGCCGTTAGACCCGAAGTGGAGGAGTTCGGTCTGAATGAGAAGGACGTCGTGGGCACCGGTCGTCACCTTTTGTCGGCCCTCTATTCAGACGGTATGAGCCATCAAAGCGAGTTGGACTCCAATGAGACCATATTTAACATAACGTCTAACACTATAAATAATTTATTATAAATATATTAATTATTATTAAAGAGATATTATTATTACAAAAGATATAAGAAATGATTTTTTTTAGTTTATTTAAAATGAGGGCAAAAATGCATTATTATTCTTATGTATCGAAAAATCTATATATACCTGTAATTGCATTATACAAAAAGCGTTTTCGATTGTATGTTATGCTTATATGCAATGATATGTATGAATGAATTATATTATTATAATGATGATTATTATTTTATACAAAATATATATGATATTATATTTAATTATAGTTAACGCTTGTGAGACAAAAACAATATCAAAATCTCTATGAAATCTGAAAAGTTAAACATTGTTTTTCATTTTGTTTTTGTGACCTCTCTCTCTCTCTCTCTCTCTCTCTCTCTACAGACCCCTTTCCCTCCCGTCCCTCACTATATCTATCTATCCTATCATTCCTGTCTGTTCTCACGTAACCCTAATGTTATGTAACGAATAATTCCATTGTTTTTATTATTAATTAGTATTAACTTTATATTTGAAGAATATTTTTCATATATTTTAAATTAAGAATCCCTTGATATGAATGTATAAAAATCTATATATTATTTGTTGAACATACCGTATATTTATAACATTGAAAAAACATACACACATGCTAACTAAAAAGTATATGATCGGGTTAGGTTTTATTTATTTAAATGTGATTTATTGTCATTTATATTTGTTTCAGATTTTATTTCATAGTTTCTTTTTGCTAACTATACAAAATGTAACTGTATCAATTTTGTTTTTTTCATTGACCTTATTTTCAAATAAATTATTGGTTGCAATCATACGAAGTGATCGTCTTATTGACAATAAGCTACTGTTAATTAAATTAATGAATTGTTTGTCTAATTAATGAGCGAAATATGTTTATTCATTACAAGGAATCTGTTTTATGAAAAATGTTTGCTTTTCCCCGAGAATTATGACTACTTTTGCAATCTTTTTAAACGTTTTGCACCACAATGTGAAACGTCTATTCACAGTGTGTTTTAAATGTAAAACTTTTAATCAAATGCCTCACAAATTAATTGATAACTTTGAGGCTATCGGATAGGGGGATAATTTCGCTGACAGCGCTGCTATACACACTCGACGCTCCGGTATCTCCAGATAAATATTGAGATCAATATATAACTGAGTCATTGGAACAGTTGTGATAATTATTTTTAAAAAGCAAAGAGTTTTTGCGAGAAAATAATAAAAAAAATATAAGTTTTTCCACGAATTTCAGTGTATTTGGTACACCGAGTGAGACATGTCTTAGAAGTGTATGCTATGTGCTATCAATTCAAAGTATTTTACACGCTTTGCCAATACATTAATACTGATAGATATACTTATATAAGAGTTGATATTAATATTAATGAGTGAGTGTGTGTATGGATGCCCACAATATACCTGTCCCTTACATTTCCAGTTTCTCAAGTCGTATCGCCGTATCTATGGATGCGAATGAAATCTTATTTTTGCAAATCTTTAGCAAAAGCGAGTGAAAAGCAAATATGAAACTAATTTTGTTATTTTATTAATTACACACTATTTCTGCTATTTTCGAGTAAAAGTAGTGCTTTTTAGGAGATAAAGGTTGACATTTGAGACGATTCTTGTTTCGCTATTATCTTAATATGCAATTCAATAGCAATATTGCACTACATTTTTATTGTAGTCTCATTTTTTGAGGCCATTAAGAGCTAGAATTACTTTTGCAAATAAAAAAACACAATATTATGTTATGAATAGATTTAATGAATTGATAGTTTCCTTATAAGAGTTTATATAAGACTTTATAAGAGTTTTTTTATTTTGCTTTTGTATTGAGTTGAGTGCAGATCTAGAGAATAGGCAGTCGATTGACAAAAAGCCTCACATTTTCACTCCACAACTGACCTCATATTAGGAGCAGTTTAGCGCAACAAAAGTCGATATCAAGACTGATAGTAATATTACAGCACAATATACATGTAAAAAACATATATTCTCGTATTTGTATTACAATATATTTTTTTATAACACACACAGACATTGGTCTCATAGTCTCTCTCTAAATATTACATGACTTTCGAGAAAACAATAACTTTATTGATATGATAGGCGACTGTGTGTATGAACTGCAGTCAAATCCAGTTGTGTTTTGCCAACAATTGGTAACTTATTTTTGCGTTCAATGATTAGACATTAAAAAAGATGGTCTGATATCTGGATTCGTGCTGTACCTGCAAATGCTATACACACACACTGTAAGCGAGGTCTGTTTGTATCAATTATACAAACATTTGAATGAAAGTAAAAAACAAAATTCTGTATAACTGTTAGACACCCGAGTATTCTGTGTATTACATGCATATTGAAAGGGAAGGTTATGTAAGGGGAAAGTCTTATCAAATAAAAAAAAGTAAAAGCAAACTGCGATTACCAGTATCCTATTGTAGAAAAGGCTGACAAATGCGAGTTTTTAATAAGAAAAACTACTGTTCCCTCTCATTAAGTACCGGTACTACGATATCTGTATAATATATGGTCTTTAAATAATATTTGAAGTGTTATCTCAAAGTTTTGTTATAAGTTTTGTGATTATTTTTCTAACGACTTTCTTTTTTCATTCAAAATGTGTTTAAGAAAATAAATTAATATATTTTTGCAAACGATATGTCTGTGGAAAATATCCAGTGATTTATAATCGCTGTATTCAATGGGCTATAAATCCGCGCAAAATATATCTATTTCCAGGATTTTGGACATAAAATGCTTGAATAAAAACTTAATGCAAAAGGATTTATAAAAAGACAAATTAAACTCAATGTTTGTCATTAGGTCTCCAAACATGAGTGCAAATTAAATACACGAAAAACACTTTCTCTACCATATATTTCATCATACTGTTGTCGTTTAGTGCAAACAAATACCAAATTCATTCACTTTTGGCACTTAAAGCCTAATTATAATAGCGAAACATCACATTAACTCCAAATTCTGGACTCATTTCTCGCATTAATCCGCGAAATAGTCCTCAAAAAACACGTTTTCTGACTCTCTATGCGAAAAAAATTCTCATTTTTTAAAGTATTGCCCAGAATTTCAAGTTCACCACAAAAAATGTTTATCTAAGATATTTTTGCAACTTTTTATAGACATTATATTATTCTACATGTACTGACAGGTATGGGTAAGGGTATGGTAAGGTATGGTCAGGTGCATGTAAGTCCCCCCGTACCCAAAAAAAACCTGTTTAAAAGTTTTGTGAAGCATTTTAAAAGTATTNCTTTATATTTGAAGAATATTTTTCATATATTTTAAATTAAGAATCCCTTGATATGAATGTATAAAAATCTATATATTATTTGTTGAACATACAGTATATTTATAACATTGAAAAACATACACACATGCTAACTAAAAAGTATATGATCGGGTTAGGTTTTATTTATTTAAATGTGATTTATTGTCATTTATATTTGTTTCAGATTTTATTTCATAGTTTCTTTTTGCTAACTATACAAAATGTAACTGTATCAATTTTGTTTTTTCATTGACCTTATTTTCAAATAAATTATTGGTTGCAATCATACGAAGTGATAGTCTTATTGACAATAAGCTACTGTTAATTAAATTAATGAATTGTTTGTCTAATTAATGAGCGAAATATGTTTATTCATTACAAGGAATTTGTTTTATGAAAAATGTTTGCTTTTCCCCGAGAATTATGACTACTTTTGCAATCTTTTTAGACGTTTTGCACCACAATGTGAAACGTCTATTCACTGTGTGTTTTAAATGTAAAACTTTTAATCAAATGCCTCACAAATTAATTGATAACTTTGAGGCTATCGATAGGGGGATAATATCGCTGACAGCGCTGCTATACACTCGACGCTCCGGTATCTCAAGATAAATATTGAGATCAATATATAACTGAGTCATTGGAACAGTTGTTGTGATAATTATTTTTAAAAAAGCAAAGAGTTTTTACGAGAAAATAATAAAAAATATATGTTTTTCCACGAATTTCAGTGTATTTGGTACACCGAGTGAGACATGTCTTGGAAGTGTATGCTATGTGCTATCAATTCAAATATTTTACACGCTTTGCCAATACATTAATACTGATAGATATACTTATATAAGAGTTGATATTAATATTAATGAGTGTGTGTATGGATGCCCATAATATACCTGTCCCTTACATTTCCAGTTTCTCAAGTCGTATCGCCGTATCTATGGGTGCGAATGAAATCTTATTTTTGCAAATCTTTAGCAAAAGCGAGTGAAAAGCAAATATGAAACTAATTTTGTTATTTCATTAATTACACACTATTTCTGCTATTTTCGAGTAAAAGTAGTGCTTTTTAGGAGATAAAGGTTGACATTTGAGACGATTCTTGTTTCGCTATTATCTTAATATGCAATTCAATAGCAATATTGCACTACATTTTTATTGTAGTCTCATTTTTTGAGGCCATTAAGAGCTAGAATTACTTTTGCAAATAAAAAACACAATCTTATGTTATGAATAGATTTAATGAATTGATAGTTTCCTTATAAGAGTTTATATAAGACATTATAAGAGTTTTTTTTAATTTTGCTTTTGTATTGAGTTGAATGCAGATCTAGAGAATAGGCAGTCGATTGACAAAAAGCCTCACATTTTCACTCCGCAACTGACCTCATATTAGGAGCAGTTTAGCGCAACAAAAGTCGATATCAAGACTGATAGTAATATTACAGCACAATATACAGTACATGTAAAATACATATATTCTGGTATTTGTATTACAATATATTTTTTATAACACACACAGACATTGGTCTCATAATATTACATGACTTTCGAGAAAACAATAACTTTATTGATATGATAGGCGACTGTGTGTATGAACTGCAGTCAAATCCAGTTGTGTTTT